GAGGAGATTATGGTATGGCCATTAGATAGACATAAAGATTAAGCAGCAATATGGGAAGTGATTGAAAGCATACTGGCAGAGGGGAGAGACAGAGGATGCATACGGAAATGGCAAGATTAGAAGGGCATTCGAGACAACTATGATGCTTTTGTCAGGATGTTACAAATGAATACAAATGCTCTCTGTTTAAATTTCCCTTACTGCTCTATAGAAAACAGCAACATTAACAACAAAAAAGATGAAATAAATGTACCCAGGTCATTGATTATGATTTTTTCTCAGATTCTTTCCTCGCTATTTTTCCTCTGCGTGACTTGGTCCAAGCTGCTCCCAGGAAGGACCCTATATGAAGGCCATACTTGAGGGCAGGTGAATAGTCTTGCTGGGGCTTTTATGCATCCTCATGGGTGCACTGATCATCTGTCTGTGAAACAAAGCTCAAGCTGTTTACTGTGCATCATCATAGGAATTTTTTCCCAGTAGTAGGAATAAATTTGCAGTCATCTACTTTCTTGTGCCAAGGTTTCCTCATAATCAGTTTCATGAAACTAGAAGCCAGTTGTCCTAGTTTAGATATAGATTTGTAGGCACCAAATGGGATTTTTAAAATATGGAATTGCTAATCTGGGAATCAAATGGCTTCTTTTCAAATACCTATGAAGAGAAGTGAAAGGCAAAGGAGAAAAGGAAAGATACACCCTTTTGAATGCAGAGTTCCAAAGGATAGCAAGGAGAGATAAGAAAGCCTTCCTCAGTGATCAGTGCAAATAGAGGAAAACAACAGTACGGGAGACTAGCGATCTCTTCAAGAAAATTAGAGATACCAAGGGAACATTTCATGCAAAGATGGGCACAATAAAGGACAGAAATGGTATGGACCTAACAGAAGCAGAAGATATTAAGAGGTGGCAAGAATACACAGAATTGTACAAAAAAGATCTTCACAACCCAGATAATCACGATGGTGTGATCACTCACCTAGAGCCAGACATCCTGGAATGCAAAGTCAAGTGCGCCTTAGGAAGCATCACTACAAACAAAGCTAGTGGAGGTGATGGAATTCCAGTTGAGCTATTTCAAATCCTAAAAGATGATGCTGTGAAAGTGCTGCACTCAATATGCCAGCAAATTTGGAAAACTCAGCAGTGGCCACAGGNAGAAAACCAAGATCATGGCATCTGGTCCCATCACTTAATGGCAAATAGATGGGGAAAGAGTGAAAACAGTGGCAGACTTCATTTTTTCGGACTCCAAAATCACTGCAGATGGTTATTGTAGCCATGAAATTAAAAGACGCTTGCTCCTTGGAAGAAAAGTTATGACCAATCTAGACAGCATATTAAAAAGCAGAGACATTACTTTACCAACAAAGGTCCATCTAGCCAAAGCTATGGTTTTTCCAGTAGTCATGTATGGATGTGAGAGTTGGACTATAAAGAAAGCTGAGTGCCAAAGAATTGATGCTTTTGAACTGTGGTGTTGGAGGAGACTCTTGAGAGTCCCTTGGACAGCAAGGAGATCCAAGCAGTCCATCCTGGAGATCAGTCCTGGGTGTTCACTGGAAGGACTGATGCTGAAGCTCCAATACTTTGGCCACCTGATGCAAAGAACTGACTCCCTGGGAAAGACCCTGATGCTAGGAAAGATTGAAGACAGGAGAAGAAGGGGACGACAGAGGAGGAGATGGTTGGATGGCATCACTGACTCAATGGACATGAGTTTGAGTAAACTTCGGGAGTTGGTGATGAACAGGGAGGCCTGGTATGCTGCAGTCCATGGGGTCACAGAGTCGGATACGACTGAGTGACTGAACTGAACTGAACTGAAGTGAATCTTGAAATCAAGCCTAATGGTTTGTCAATGCCATGCTGTGTACCCACCCTACCACTGCCACTACCTAAAGCGGTCCAAATTCTTCCATGGAATTACTGTGGATTTGCATAGTTGTCCAGCTTGGTAAGACCCAGAATTAACCTTAGGTTAAAGTAGATGTTAGTTTTTTTATATTGACTTTTCCTAAATTAGCCTAATTCGTCGAGATGGATTGTGATTTGCGAGTGTGACATGCATACTCCTTGTTAGTTAGGGAGGATGGTGACTCTTGCAGCTTTAGAAAGGGTGCTAGAAGAAAACTAACTGGCCAGGAGGATCTTCAGAGCAGGAGTGGAAGTGGGGGCAACAGTGATGCCAAATGCTCCTCAGTTTAGTAGAGCTGCAAAGATGGTGTTACCCAGGACAGAGAGAAACTCATCCAGAGTCCCCCAGCCTCACACCCACGGGGCTCACAGCCAGGGCAGGCATCCTGGTGCAGAGAGGAAGGGCTGCTTTTCCAGGGACTGAGGAATGAAAGAGAAAAAGCTCACCCTACTCTATTAAGAACAAACTTCCATAAAGTAAGCAAGCAAGAATATTTCTCTACATAGTTAATCTGAGAGGAGAAACTAACCTGAAGGAGAATTAAGAGAAATTCTGGAACATTCTTTGAAACTTTGCCAAATTAAATTCAAGTTTGTGTGCCTATATTCCGTATATAATACACACACTGATTTTTAAATTTTGACTCTGAAGTGAAATTAACTGCTCTTCAAATAGTGGGCAAGTGTCATCAACTGAAAGAGTGTGGGGAACCAGTACAACCAGAAAAAGGAAACATCAGAGATTCCAAGGGCTTGGTTTTTGGAGGCACATTTTATTTAACAGTACTAGAGAATTAACATCTAGTAACAGCGTAATACAAAAATGAAACACCAATCTATTTAAAACTCATATAATGGGAACATGTCTTTCAAGAAATGTGGGAAAAAAAGTTGGAGATTGAGACACATTGATAAAAATGTTAACAAAAATCAAAACTCATTCCATCATCCTTCACTTTACATTCTCATGATAAGATTGTCATTTTGTTTTCTCCACAATATGTCAAAAATATATATACTTATGCATAATATTCACATTCTGGGAGGCAAGAGAAATCTTCAAATTTAATTCCCTAAATTTAAACATTACATATATTTCAATTAAAATAACCTAAACATTAAGAATAGCAGCAACACTGGTCTTTAAATTACAGTAGATTATTCACATAACATAGACATATTTGGGTGGCTCTTTCACTATTAATATTATCTGATATAATTTACAAACTCCAAGGTAATGGTCTCATCATCAAATAACATAGAATCTAGTGTCAATAAATACTATGCAAAGAATTATTATAAAACACAGATTGCTAAACATTCTCCAGACTAGAGAGAACCATACTAAAAAATTTCAGGGGAGAATCAGGTCTGAAGGAGGTTTGAAGGCATGCAGGAATCTGTGGGATTCCCAAGGCAAGAGAAAGTGATCTGACAAGCTCCCCGAAATGACAGGCAAACTGTCAGGAATGGAATCCTGAGAAGTGTGTCCAAGGGGACAAGGCACAGTCACCTCTTCACGGTGCCATGTTTCGCTTGAATATGGCGTTAAAGTGACTAACATCTGAAAAACTTCCCACTAAACAAAGGACAGGATCATTTCTGACCAGGAGACAAGACATTGGACCAGGAGGTCAGTATTTATTTCTCATCATTTACATTATTCTGATGACCAAAGGCATAAAAAATATTTCAGCAGTGTTTTGTGTTTTTAAGCCTGGATGGTTGGAAAAGTATTTCTACCCCTACTCCTGATTTAAGCCACTGTGCCAATTTCCTAATCCTACTGGCTTGAAAAGGACCTCAGATGTCAGGACAGGGGTTTCTTCACAACTGGACGCAGTTACAGAAGTTGCCTTGAAGATTGTGCCTTCTTTGTGTATTTGGAAGGTTTTTCAGAAAAGGTGAATGGTTAAGTATCACAATGGGGTTGGGATCTCTCACAGTAAGACTGCTTGCTGATATTTCAATAATTTGTCCCCATCTTCAAGTCACTTCATACACAATTGCATTTGATACCCTCACACACAAATCTGTGAGGCAGACAGGACACATCCACGTGTTCCCTTTATAGACGAAGAAAACTGAGGCTCCTGGAGATCAAAGCGATAAGCTTGTCACAGTCACACACATGGACAAACTGGTCATTTGAAGGAGGCAGGGAAAAAAAGAGAATATAAATGAGTTCATGAGAAAAAGAAAGGGAGACAGAAGTGGTGCCACTTGGCAGACAGTATCATAAACTTTGAAGCAACCAAAAGGCATCTCACATGTAGAACACAGAGATTTAAAAACACATTTAAATACTTCAGTCTTCCGAACTGTCTCATACTAGCCTGGATTACCATATCTTTATGTAGCTACTGAGGCTGACACTGAAACATAAGATCACCAAGAAATTCTTACATGAGTTTCATGATTTCCCAGTAGACATAAAAATATTATACCCTGTCCTGAGGACCCCCACTCCTGTCTCATTTCACCTCCAGCACAGTAATTACAGGAAAATACATGTATATCTTGACTCATTTTGGTAGTTTTCTAAGGTGTACTTTTCAGAACATATTATTAGTGAATTTTCTTGCTATGTCCTTAAGAAAATTAGCTTTTTCTCTTTTGGATCAAAGCTGAGAACACTGCAATAAACTTAAGAGCTTTGATAATTTTACATTTGAACTCTACTTGATAGTTGTTGGAAAAGAACACATTTTAAATGACTAATAGTTAATTTAGAAAGCTGGCTTATTTCATACAACCCTTTGAAAAAAATTCAGTGATTGACAGTTTCACAAAACAAAATTATACCTATTGCACTGTAGAAAAAAAAAAACAACTTACATATACTGATACTGAAAGACTTAGGTTCAAGGTTCTGGAGAGTGACACTGAACTGTTAATCAGTTTTAAATTTTAATCAGTAAATGTTTTAAAGAAACGGCTGAATTAAAATAGAAGGCCATTCATGACACCATTGCGAAATGTGATGGAAAAGTCATGCAGATCCCTCATTCCCCCTCAGCAGCACCCGCCCCTCCCCAGGCACCCCCACCACCTTCCCGACACACACACTAGAAATGTCCGGCCATCAGAGTCTCGGACCCTGCACTCAATGAACAAGGTACCACAAGGTAAGTTACACTTTGGCAAGTAGGAAACAGAACAATTCTTTGAGTTCTTCTGAGGTAGTACAGTCTTTCTAACATTCTAATGGTTGAGAGGTGTCTACGGAGCTGGAACCTGATTATTACGTGGAGAACCTAAGATATGAAGATAGCTGTGTGACTGGGGTAACTGTGACTCGTGACAACTTTGATTTAATTCCTATATGTTTTTTTAAAAGTGCCTGGTATACAGCAGAAACTCAGCACATATCAGATTACTGACTGTTTAAAATCTCCCACTTAGCTTAGTGAGATTACAAGTGAAAACAAACATAAAAACATCCAACCCAATGCAGACTAACTGTCACCAAAGGCCAGGTCACTTTCCCTTGTTCATGGAATTGTAGACACCTTTCAAATGGTACTGGCCATGGTATAGCATGCAATTCCATCTTAACCTTATTTCCATTACAATTTTATCATGAGGTGCTTATGGAAGGTTTGGCTTTAAATAACTTTTCTGAAGACAGTGTGATCCACTTTCTTTGCTGTTCTTCAAGCTTTTCTGCCAAGCATTTAATCAAGACAGGGTCCACCTTAGAATCAAATTTATTAGCAAACCAATGTCCATATTTCATAAGCCACCTTAGTTCCGCTGTTCCATAGATACATACACTTCGGAGGTGAGAGCCAGTACAACTGGGATAGAAAAGACCTTCTAGATAATTCCATTTGACCAGACGGGTCTTACTCTGTAGGTCAGACACATCCTGGGCTGTCCTAGAAATCTCCCCGGGGATTCCTGGTACCCGAATTAAGGTAGCCCAAAAGTGCTCATCAGGTGAGTATGTATCTTTAGACCAGGCAAAAAAGTCTTCAACAAAGGAGTTGTTGAAAATATACTTAATGAATGCTCGACTTAACACAAAATAAGCACTGCCAACAAATATCTCGATGTTATGAGGGGGTGCTTCCTTGGAAATGTTTGTCCTCATCGGTAGTTTCACATATTCATAAGGTGCCTGTCTGAGCTCATGGTGATAAGTGAATCTTTCCACCTTAGTGCTAGGGGGTTTCACTGTCTCTAACATGTTTGATCCATTGAGTTTCTTCAACTCTGACACTAATTCGAAGTTTGACTTCAAAGGAAAATCCTGCCCACACAGGTTGATAACATATTTCCACTGAACTGAAGACTTGAGAAGGTCTGACAAGCAATTTAAATCAGCCTGGAGTCTGGAAATGTGTGCGTACTGCACAGTCTCTAATTTGGAAGCAATGAAAATATTGGAGAAGCACTTAGCTAAATTGTTCATGGCAACTTTGAAGGTATCTGATGATTTTTGGTCATAATGGATGCAATAAATATTGTGCTGGTTGTATATAGCAAGGATTAGCCTTTCAACCATAATTGCATCTTTGTGAACCACCAAAGAATAGGCTATTGGGAAGCTTTTCTCCTCCTCTGAAACAAGCTTTGCATCGTAGCTTCGTAGGGCCTGATAAATCTCACAATCACTGGTAATTGCCACAACATCATCATCATCCAAGTCAATGATAGTTCTTCTTCTTATTTCCAGACTCTTGCCAATTTCCAAAGGCTCCTGTTCATAGACACCCGAGCAGTTAATCTCATATCCGATTTCACTCTTGACATGGGTGTATCTGTTCCTTACAAAAGGTGAGGTGCTTACAGAGTACTCAACCAAGTAAATGCCCCGTTCAGGGAAGAGGAACCGTTTAACATTCAGGAGCTTCAACAAGGAGAACAGCCATAGGGTTAGAAACAGGATGAAAACCTTCTGTTGTAGGTGATATTTAAAACAACATTTGAATGTCTTCATTCTGTAAGAGAACAAAGGAACAATTCAGTTGAAATAGGAAGAGAAAATTAGTTCAGTTCAACCAACATCCACTAGCTGCCTCACTAGGCCGAATGCTGGGCCCAGAGGCAATTTAAGTAAGTGTTCTTGCCCTTTAAAGAATCCAGAAATAAGGAAATGGAAATATGTACAACAGTTGTATTTTGTCCTATTCTCTGTTAGATATCTAATTTTGAGAGATATTGATTACCAAATATTAGAATGAAAAATAATGTTAACTCCTTAAATATAGGTACTAAGTATCTTAATTGTCTGATTTTCTGCTGAGCATATTTGCAGAAGGATTGCTGTGGTTTGGACAGAGTTCTAGAAAACTGGATTTTTTAGTAGTCATATACAGATGTGAGAGTTTGACCATAAAGAATTTGAGCACCAAAGAATTGATGCTTTTGAGCTATGGTGCTGGAGAAGACTCTTGAGAATCCATTGGATTCTCAAGGAGATCAAAGCAAGGAAATCCAACCAGTCCATTCTAAAGGAAATCAGTCCTGAATATTCATTGGAAGGACTGATGCTGAAGCTGAAGCTCCAAAACTTTGGCCACCTGATGCGAAGAGCTGACTCATCGGAAAAGACCCTGATGCTGGGAAGGATTGAAGGGGGGAGGAGAAGGGGACAACAGAGGAGGAGGTGGTTGAATGGCATCACCAACTCGATGGACATTAGTTTGAGCAAACTCTGGGAGATGGTGAAGGACAGGGAAGTCTGGAGTACTGCATGCAATTCACGGGGTCACAAAGAGTTGGACACGACTGAGAGAGTGAATAACAACAAAGAGGTCACTGAAAATGTAAATGACCCATCTGAGGCTAAAAGGAATATCCTTCTTGATTTTACCTTCAGATTCTGATGAGATCTAGATCTGAAGTCAAATGGGGAAAGCACAGTGAACTCCACTGCTATAAACTGAATGTCTGCATCCTCCCCAAAATTTTAAGTTGAAACCTAATCGCCAATTTAAGTTGATTGTATCAGGAGGTGGGGCTTTGGGGGAACTTTTTAGGTCTTGAGGGTGAAGTCCAAACACATAGGATAGGTGCTCTTATAAAAGAGACCCCAGACAGCTAACTTCCTTGCCCCTTCCATCATGTGAGGAAAACCGTGGGAAGATTGTTGTCTATGAGCTAAGAAGCAAGCTCTTATCAGGCATGCAGTCTGCTGGAGTCTTGATTCTGGACATCCCAGCCTCTAGAACTGTGAGAAGTACATGTCTGTTTATAAGCCACCCAGTCTGTGGTATTTTATTATAGCTGCCTGTGTAGACTAAGACACTAACCTTCAGAAATAAGAGCAGTGGGCAGACCCCAAAGGAGGCTATAGTAAATATTAGACATTGTAAAATTTTATTCAGATTACACAAATTTGGTAAGCTTGCACATTTCCCTTATTTTGTTAGCTCCCATTTCCTCACAGGGATTAGCAATTTAGCCCTTAAAATGAAAAGAATCTTGACTCATTGAGAGTAGGTGGTCAGGGGCCAGTTTGGCTGAATCTGTCAGTTTTATGTACTCATCCAGAACAGTTCATGTGTGTGTAGGTTTCCTGCAGTTCAGGCTAAAAACTGAAAACCATTAAGACGTTCTACAGGGCAGTGATTAATCACACCCAACCTGCGACGAACATGCAGGTGCCTCTGTGGGACAGTCCACACCACAGACTGTGAAACAGAAATAGGACCATGCAGAAAACAGTGTAGAATGAGCTCATATGTGTGTCCAGAAAAGGACTCTATACACCCAGCAGCCTACACACAAACAGCACACGTCAGTAAGCTTTTTCGTTCTCCATCACAGCTGCTCAACGCTGCCACTATAGTGGAAAAGCAGCCAGATATACTGGACGTGACTGTGTATGAATGGCTGTGTGCCAATAAAACTTTATTGACAAAAACAGGCAGCTGAAGGCCAATATCTTCATAAGGACTAAGAATCTGGGGCCTGGGGAAGAGGTGATTTATTTTTCACCAGATAGCCTTTTGGACTATTTGAATGTTAAAAATGATTATATTACTGTACCCAAATAGATGAACATCTTTAAAAAATGATTATATTGCTTTATCAGATAAAAATGGGTTACCCAGTGGGCAGGCATTACATGTACTTATTTGGGGAGCAGCAGGAAATGGGCAAATCCACAAAGTATTACCCCAAGGCTTGAGGACAGCAAGGCTGGCCAAGCTCCTAGCAGTGCTCCTAGCAGGTCCAAACTGAGAACTGGGGAGGTCTGAGGAGCCCATATAGAATTTCCTTATACATCTCAATAAACCGTAAACAAGGACATCATCATTGAACCTAATTTCCTTAGAAAGAAACAGCAAGACATTTGAATCTGATTTATTTTCATAGATTTCTTTTAAATAGATTAATTGAAAAAGCTCTTGTAGGAATGACATACTCTGATTCACCTTCACTTGAATTCCTCCCTTTGAAGAATGACACCTTATTTATCAATGGTGAAGTGCCCTGCAGAGACTGTGTTCTCCTGCCACACCTCAGGCTCTCCTCTGAGTTTTCCTCGGGTCCTATTCTCAACTTAACTGCTCTTCTCCCGAACACTCTCCCTTGCTTTCAGGATTTCACCTTCCATGTATACATTGCCAGCGTCTTTATCTTCAGCCTCCACCTCTTGCCCAAGCTTCTGACATGAACATCCAACTGCTTGATAGACATCTCCACTTAGACAGCCCATGGGCACTCCATCTCAATGAGTCCTAAGTGAACGTGACACCTTCCTCTCCTGTGTTTTCTGTCTCAATTTATCCATTCAGTGACTCAAGCTTGAAACGTAAGAGCCTCTTGACTCTTCCATTTCCGGTATACCATCTCACAAATACCCCTCAAATTCATCCTTTCTTCTCCTTCCCAGTTACCAGGCCCAGACAACATCTTTGCTGACCATCATCCTCACACTTACGTAAAAGCAAAGGCTTCAGCGCCCAGGGGGATAACCTGCTGACTCTCCCCAGAGCCGTCTGATAAAAGCTCTTTCTGATCAAAGGACTTGAACCTCCACCCCTTGTTCCTTCTAACCTGGGAAAGGGAGTGCTTTCAAAGGCATTTTTGGCCATAGTGAGCAGGTGAAGGGGCTTCACATGGACTCAGGACAGGACAGAACTGGAAGGCTCACTGCTTCCCCTGATGTTAAAGGCAACCCTGGAGGGTAAGCTCTCCTTCTTAAAAATGCCTGGCATATGAGGAGCCAGAAAGCAAGCTTCTGGGCCACCCCGATTCCCTCCCTGTCTTCCTTTAGAACGAACTCTCCTCCCTGCTTGGCGAAGCTCAGACCGAGGATCCAGGGCGCTCCCGTAGGGCTTCCCTCCGTGTGCCCGCCGCCTCTCCTGCCCCGGCGCCCCGCGACCCTCCCTCCGGGCAGCCCCGGCCTCCTGCTCAGCTCAGACTGTCCTAGGAACCAGCACAGCCATGCGCCCTCAACAAGCACCCGTCTGCTCTTTCCCGCTGAATGGCTCATGGGCGGAGAGCAGGCGGCTGTGTCTCTGCCTTGACGTAGTCTTATAATCATATTACAAATAATTCCTTCCTACCCAGCCAGGCAGGTGAGGAAGCTGACGTGCTGGGGAGTTACCACCACACGGGTGCAAACGCCTCATGGTGACGCAGGAGGAAATGGCAACAAAGGCTGACCGCTGCATCAAACGAGTTCTGTCCAGATAATTCAATAACACCCCAACAGGGACGACGAATAAAGCATTCCTCCCAAACCAGCTTCTCTCCCCCTGCCCTCCCAGGCACCGTTCACAGCCTGAAAGGAAACAGCAGGCCCAGCACAGCACATCCCAGCCAAGTGGTTGTAACCGCCTTCAGGGTTAGACGGCCACAGCCCTGAGCAGCGCTGCGGTGACCTCTCCTTCACCGGCAGTTTAGCCCAGGGCTGTCACTGCAGTACCTGCCTCCTCACAGGCGCAGGAAGGGGGACGGGAAGTAACCAGGGAAGGAAAACGGTGAATGGGGTCTAGCTTGGGCACGAGAATGGGGGGCCCTCCATGCATGTTGCAGGTGAGCTGGCCGCTGCAACCCACCTCCCTCCCCGCCTGCCCCCCCCTGCACACCGCACACCTTCCCAGGAGCGCAGGGATGGGGGGGCGGGGTGGAGAGAAAGCAGATGGGAGGGCTTGGGGCACCTGGATCCAGGCTGAAATCCTGGAGTGGCAGTAGCTTTAAGACTGAATGAGCGACCCTCCTGAGACCCTCTTGAGTCTCAAACTGGGGACTGGAAAGGCTCCCTGCTCCCTGGGGTGTCAGGGTTCAGGAGCCCGGGTGAAAGGAGTCCCCGCAGAGGCCCCCGGAACACGTCCCAGGTCTTCTCTTTCCCAGCGCCCAGCTCCCCAGGAAGATTGAATCTTGGATTTTTCCCCAGTGCATCACACAGGATGTCCTGATTGGTTTTTTTTATTTTAAAGAAAAGAATCCACTAGGTAATTATAGGCAGACAATGTGAAGGAAATGACCTTCACTCTTCTGACCACACGAGGAGGTGGAAAGGCAGGAGGAAGAATAGAACGGCTGAGAGTTAGGTTCCTGCTCCAGGCTGAGCAGGAGGCGAGGCGGGCACACGTGGTCCTGGCGGTACAGCCAGGCTTCAGCCTGTGGGGGGCCCTGTGTGGGCCCCGGGGCGAGCCCCCTACCCGCCACCCCTCTGCCCCATCAGAAAAGGATGTAAATGGCAGTAACTCCCTAAAGGGATCGAATGCACGGAGCTTTGGCCCAGTCCAGATCCTGGCTCCCCAGTTAACACCGCTGTGGCTCCCCCTCAGCCTCATCATCTCCTCCTCAGTCCCCCAACCTCCTTCCTCCTGTTACTACCACTGCTCTATGACTTCTTTAAAGATCCTGCCCAGACCTATGGCTTATTGGGATGTTTTTCAATCTGTCTCCCATTTTACCCCAAAGTGTTGACATAAGTTCAATACTTTAGAATCAATGCCTGAATGCTTTCATGTAATGG